TACTATATATATATATATATATATATATATATATATATATATATATATATATATATATATTACAGACATAGAGAAACTTTATCTGCAGTATTTCTCATATACTATAATATAACCAATTACTTATCTCTGTATTAATCAATGTGACCTATATCAATACAAGACAGAAATAAAATTATCTATGAATGCAGAGCTTCAATAATGCATGTATCAATAATATCCTGTATAAAAAAAGGGAATTAAATGAGTATATATATGTACTCATTGCTTATATACTTGTGCAATATTCTACATAAATGTTTCTGTAATGAAAAGATTAGATATAATATGTCTGATAAAAATAAATAGTTATGAACATACATATATTACTCATATCTAGCTTAATGTTTATGCAGCAAATTAAAATAACGTTCCTGTATTAATTAATTGATATATTAATAAGTCATAATTTCCTAAAATGTTAAACGTTTGTGATAATATTCAAATTATAAAATTAATTCAAATTATAAAAAATTATGATATACTGGTTAAAAAAACATTTAACTTACATACATATTTCCTATAATGTTAAATGTAATAACGAATATGAATATCAAACAAAAAACCGTATGAACAGGATTACAAAATATATAATATACAATATACATAATATACAATATATAAAAATTATATAGAATAAAATAGAACATAAGAAATTATTTTATATTCGATATAAATTTAGTTTGTTTAGTTTTGTTTAGAAACAATAATAAATGTAATATAAAATCGACAGAGTTATGCTATTGATTTAATGTTAACATTTAAACTGACATTAATAATAACATAATAACTAAATATCGTTGGGTAATATCGCTTGTGATATCGATACAAAGTGAATCCATTGGAAATGGAAATAAGGTGAGTTTTTTAATTTATGCGATTAATAAATCGCATTATGCGTAAATGCAACTTTGCTCTATAAAAGCAGCATTTGCGCATTATGCGTTTAATCAATCGATGAATTAAAAAAACTCGTCTCTATAATTTAAAGAGTATAAACGTTATCAATTGTGTAAATTTTTCGACCATCGATATAAATATCTGAACAATTGATTTATAATATAATATTAAATTCATGATTATACAGCTGTTTTATATAAGAATATATGGTCATTATACAGTTTAGATAAAAAAAATATGAATAAAAGGTATAAAAATATGAATAAAAATATGAATAAAAAATATGAATAAAAGCTTCAAATATGAATAAAAGGTTCATTCAACGCGTTTTTTGCACGAAACGAAAGAACCTGACAGAAATAAATGTCGCTCTGCTCTGCAAAGCGAGATGTTAATCGTTAAAGTTGACGATTATTCAGATTAAAAAATCTGTCATACCGACGAAATATAGCGATATTTTAAAATAGAAAATTTGTGTTTTTAAAACAGAAAACATACTTTAAAAATACAAATTATTTTCTTGTATAATTTTTGTTTTTAAAGCAGAGAATTTGTATAATATTTTTAAAACATATATTCTCTGTTTTAAAAATACAAATTCTCTATTTTAAAATATGTCGCTACATTTTGCCGATATGATAGATTTCCTAACCTGGATAATTATCAACCTTAATGATCAATACCTTGCTTCTCAATGCAGAGCAACGTTTATTTTTGCCCAGATTCTTTCGTACAAAACGCATCGAATGAGCCTAATTTTATCCATATTTTAGGTGAAAAAGACTGTATAATTATGGAATATGTATTTAAAATCATATTGCATCATAATGCTATAAAACTGAATTTTTTTTCACAGTCATTATGAGTAGTGAAACTCGGTTGATAACAATAGAAATGCAGTTTCATTCTAAAATATATCATTTCGTAAATATACGTATGTATTATTTAAGAAATATCTGAATAATGATAAATCGTAAAATTAATATTTATTACAACCCAGTTGCTCAGAATTCTAGCAGTCACTAGCAAATTTCCATAAGACTGAGAATGGTTTTCCTTAATAGTATCCTGTCATTGGTATGATTTGGCATAACTGGTTAAAAGGAAAAAAGAAGGAAAAATACATAATGCATGATGCAACGAAATGTTAAGCAAGACAAATAGTCCACAATGAAGACAGATACCAATGATCCTTGGCGCGGAACGCCTGCGGAAATTGTGACCAACGACGACGACAACACGCCGAACGATCGGTTCGAGGATTCTTTCTTGGACGAGGATATCAATCATCGGCGGCTATCCGACTCGGAGCAATATCTGCAAAAATTGTGTAAGTAATCGCCACGCCTCCCGAGGAGATAAATGATTTTTTTAAAATGATCTCTCGAGAGTTTATTACAACAGGGCGTATCTTTCTGAATTCTTTCTTCTCTTGCAGTCTTTGCAAAATTTTGCTTATAATCCTTTTTTGATAAATATAGACTCCAGATTGAAGGTTCTTCAGGGAAGTACCACGAAAAGGGATCTTGTAACGTCGTTGTCGGTGGCGAAGGAGGATTGCATCGCACGTTTAATTACCTCTGGGAATAATCCCCAGTCTGAGGAAGAAGCTGAATTAGCATCGAATCCTTTGATAAGGCACATAGCTCCACATCTGCAGGTAAACATCTTGATAAGATATAGCATTATAAAGTATTTTATTATATTTGCTGGCAATTAAATCTTCCAAAATGATACAATTATTTTGCAAGGAAGCATCACATCTTATTTGATTCCTTCAATTAGTAATGATTTAAATAAATATATTATCTAGTGTATATTATTAGTATATTGGGAGCAAATCGAATGAACTGTTAACAAAATTGGTCAGAGTTTGCTGACACAATTTGATAGAAAATTGTTAGCAGAAAATTTATAATAGACATTTTACAAAATTTACTTTCCACAAATTGCTAAATTACTGATTATCAAGATATTAGAGGATAACAGTTCTAGCTTTTGGTTTGTAAGCCTGTTAGAAAGTAACATTATTTCATTGGTGGCACAAAACAAATGA